TAAAGAATAAAAGTTTCAGGATACAAGGGATTAGTAGAGCCAAATATAGCAGCAAATCAAGCATGATAAAGATTTTAAATGTTTTCATTGAAAACTTACTATTTTCTATTATAAAACAGGATACTTGACATTAAGCAGTAATGAGCATTTAACAAAACACCTGAAAATGTCCTGGAGGCCCACATGTTACTACGGTTAGAAGGACTTGAAAGAATAAGATTTAACTGAAGCAGCAGAGGTGGTGTCATACTACTTTCAGGTCATAACACATAACATGGAATAGATTGTTGTCAGCTAATATTAAATCTTTCAAAAGTAGTAGTACTTTTACCTGATTTGGCATTATAAAAATCATTTAAATTTATTAGGGTGATTATATTTCAAGAGATTAGGGGACAATCAATGACTTCATTTTTAGATAAATAATATTTTATCAAAAAAAACTTCAATTGTGGAATGTTGTTTTTGTTAATGCAGTAAGATTTAATTTTCAGGAATTTTATTGAAAATACAAGTTTTGAGTTTAGGTAGTTGATTGTTTTATATCTATTAAAGTATTTTGTTAAAAATTGACAGTGAGGGCCAGGGATTTAGCTCAGTGGTGCCACCATGTGCCTCTCAAACACAAGGTCATGATGAGTTCCATCCCTGTTACCCTGGTACCAAAAAAAAAAAATGACAGCAGTAGAGAACTTGGAGAGCAGTCGTTAAACCAAGTGAATCCAACCTAGAAAAACATATTTGTATGTATTTCATCACTGATTATATTTATGGGTTTACAAAAGATTTACTCTTCATATTTTGTGTCTTCTTAAAAGGGATAATTTGAATTATTGATTTTAGAAATTAATATTGCTATTTGATAACTAGTGCTTTATTGTTCTGAGGAGCTATTGCTTTTATAGAATTGGTCTATACGAGGGCCGGGTATTTAGCTCAGTGGTTCCGGCGCCTGCTGCGCAAGCTCAAGGACCAGAGTTCGATCCCCAGTACCAAAAAAGAATTGGTCTATATGTAAAGATTAAGTATATAAACATTTATATCACTATAAATTGATTCTATAAACATATAAAATGATCTACATACACATAAGCTAAAGTTATAAAGGGAGACTAATTCTTTGAATCTGACACGTATGTCCTCAGTTTCAGAGGAAGGCTTTATCTGGGCTGTAGTTATTTGAATCTAATCCTTGAATTTAAGAAGTGAGTAGCTGGCTGCATTGTCTTTCAGATCACTCCTGTAAGAAGCTAAGCCTAAGTTGTCTGCTACATAAAGCCAGGGGAATATTTGGAAGCATAATACCTAAGTATCCCCAACTTTAGTCTAGATATCCTGTGTTTAACTTTCTCCTATTTACATAGTGTTTTTTAAAAAATCTATCATATACTTTGTTTTTTTTGGTACTGGAGATTGAACTCGGGACCTTGTGCTTGCCAGGCAGGTGACAGCACCACTGAGCTAAAATCTCCAGCCCCCTATAACATATATTTAACTTGTAAAGCCTAGAATATTGTATTTAGGTACAGTTAAAGTATTTTTCTCACAAGCATTTGAAACTTGTTACTTTTTAAAAATTCAGTGTATAGCAAGGAAATTTAAAATATCATATTTCATTTAAAAAAATCTTTTCTGGGCCAGGGATTTAGCTCAGTGGTTTCACTGCCTGTTGCACAAGCGCAAGGATCCGATTTGATTCCCGGTACCCAGTACCAAAAAAATATAAAATAAAAAAACTTTTTTATTTCAGGATTTTATGATAATGTTCAAACTTCTTTTTTTAAATTATTTTTACAAAGAACTAAAGAGAAATAGTTTAATGGATGAAACATTTAAACTACATTCTAAAACATGATAAAGTAATATGTCCATGAGTTCAACATGAACAAAATGGAAGTGTATAAAAATTCAAAATATTGCAAATATATAGTGTTCATGAAGCCATGCAGTGGCAAGGAAACCAGAAAAATATAGTAGAACCATATTACTAGAATTCTCAAAATAGCTTGGTATTTGTTCCTCTTTTTTTAATCATAATTAAGTTTATTGGTATAATTTAGATACACATAATGATCACATTAATGGTATAGAATTTGTACCTGTACATGATATATCTTAATTCTAATTTTTCTTTTCTAAGCCCAGCATAGTGGTACACACTGTAATTCTAGCACTCTGGAGGCTGAGGCAGGAGGATTGCTTCTAGTTTGAGGCCAGCCTAGACTACATAGTGAGTTCCAAGCTAGCTTGAACTATATAAGAGACCTTATCTCAAAATTTAAAAGACAAAGAAAACTTTTCTGTGCCTGTTGTTTCAAAGTAAATTTTTATTTTGTTATTAACTCAGTAAACTTATCAAGTATACTTAATCATAGCTTTAGGGTTCTTTAGTATATTTGATGAGTTGGATTAATGATGTTCATGTTTTTAAATATTATCTTTACCATACTGTATTCTGATTATGAAATTTAAAAATTTTACATTGAAGTTTAATATCTCATATTCTATATATTTTTACATTTGCTTGGTATACAGGGTTTGGAAGATCTCATACTTGGTATTTTGACATGCAACCCAGATGATTTGAATCTGTATTCTCTTTTATTGGCAAAGTTTTTTCTTAACTGGAGCCTTGAAAATATACATCTTACACTTCTTTCTGGATAGCATCTAATCCACAAACTGTTATTGTTATCAGCATATGGGAAATAAAGTGACTAATAAAGTTCAGATGAGAAAGAGGATTGAAGACTTATTTATCTCACATATGCTTATAATTTAAATATTGCTAACTTTCGAAGAACCAGTTGCAGCTTTGATGTGACTCAGTTGTTGCCACATTCTTCTTTTTTGCATTAAACTGCATATAGTACCTCCTTTCACTGATAATCCAAGGGAGCCATCCCTAGGAAAAGAGAACCTGATTCATTCATGAGATGATGTCTATAAATTGTCATTTGACTTACTTCATTTAATAATGTTTGTCTTTTGTGAATTTTGTGGAGCTTTGTGAAATTATTATTGAGTAAGTGTAACTTTGTTTGTAAGAACAGATACTCCTGAAGTAGGAATATTCTCAAATCCTGGGCCACTCTTTCTTGAAATTTGTGTATTTTACATTCAAGTAATAAGTGCTTTCCTGAAATTTCAGTGTGGGATCCTTAGTGGAATTTTTAAATTTTCTCTTTAGCCTAGCTACTTTTCTTTGTTTGAATTAAACCACAACTTTTGGCTTTGCTGATGCATATACTTTATTTGAGCTTTAAAATTTTTTCTCCAATACATGACATTCTATTTTGTAGCATAGAAGAACACCTATTTCTTCCAGGTTTCATGATCTTTATTACAAACTGGAAGAATTTACAAATTTTCTTACTTTTTTAAAGAGTTGTGTAGATAAGCCTCCTCTCCAGGGCAGCTTGTCTCTATCTGCTTCTTCCTCCTTAAAAATAAAAGATCTTCCTTTCTTAAAAAAAAAAAAAAAGTTGTGTGGGCAAGATTTCTTTTTGTACTATGAACAGGTATTTTCTAGTTAAATAAGAATAGAAATTTCACATATATGCATTCCTTTTTCTGTGATTATCACCTTATGGTCACAAGTTAAAGTTCTGAGAATTCAAATTTGGAGTACCAAAACCTGTTTTCTGCAGTGTTTCAAATACTGTTTGGTCAAGATTACTTATTTTTGCAAAATTCCAGTTAATGTGCCGTATAGCACATTGTTCTAAGGAACGCACTTGGTTAGCTGTTTCTAATCACTAGTGGATATAGTGATTACTTTGGCCAGAGGAAAGCATAATAATTAAATGGTATTTGTTCTGCATAAATATCAAGGAATTGTTTATTTCAAATAGGTTTTAGAGAGAGGCCGAAATTTGAATTATAATAGCTTATTTAATCAGAAATTTGGGATCTGATCTATTTTGGAGTTTGGCTGACAAGTTTGGCTAAAAAGAAAAGGAAGGAAGAGTGGTGATTTAGAACAGATGGTGTGAAAAAGCAGATATTGTATGATAAGAAACATATTTTAAAAGTGTACATGTCTTAGAAAACCAAATAAAAGTTTGTTACACAAATCAATGGTGATATTACTCATTTTACTTACAACATATAGGACAGGTCTTTTAAAAAATTCTCATTACTTTCTCAAGCAACATTTTTTGATGGACTATATTGTTTTTTCTTTCCAGTAGGTGGATTAAGGAATAACATACGTGATATGCATGACAGACTGTATAGGCCTGGACCTCTTGCGTTTCGGAAAAACATAAAGGTTATTTTTCTTGCTATGGAGAAATACAGAATTTTGGAATGAGAGAGAAAACACATTTCAAGAAGTTATTGGAGACTTATTTTTATAAGCACCTACATAGTTCATAAGTTTATAGTTGGTCAGATTCCTAGTTTAAAACCTGAAAATAAGGACTAGAATTCCATTAAAATAAGTCTGAATGAGTTGAGCACCCTTAAATTTTTAATGCTTTTCCCAGTTTTTATTAACTCCAAGAGAATGCATTAGTTTTTTAGTTTTCCCTCCAGTTAGATTCATTCTGGACTGTAATTATTCTGAATTTGAGAGAATTATTGATGAAAGAAAGGGGAGTAGGTGGACAATCCAATAAATTTTGGTGTTAGAAAAGATAACTAGTTATATTTTGAATTGTTTCACTAATTCTTAGTACTTTCCCTAAAGTAAACTAATAGAACAGTCCTGAGATTTGTAGAGTATGAAATTCACATGTGATGTCACACTTCATAACAGAAGAGGCATGTAGTTAAAGCCTTCCAACAATATTTCTCAAATATTATAGTTAGTATTCCTTAATGTTACTTGCATATAAAATTTATCATAAGCAAACAATCAAAACACAAATAATAGATGAATAAAATTTATGGGCTGGATGTGGTGGCACACACCAGTAATCCTGGCATTTGGGAGGCTGAGGCAGAATCATCTCCGTGAGTTCAAGGCCAGCCTGAGCTACCTAGCAAGACCCTGTCTCAAGGAACAAAAACAAAAACAAAAAGATGAAAAAATTTAGAATGAAAGCTAATCAGTGACTGAAAGATAATCAGACTTGAAGTATTTATCAGCACTGAGTGTTTAATTTGGGAACATACTATCTTAAAGTACCTGCTGTTAAGTAAGGTTAGGTAACACCTAAATACACACTAACTACAAGGAAATGACAAATAAATATTATCAGGTTATTACTCAGTCGTTTAATACATCACCAAGGTCAGTTAGAACTCTTGTGATAAATAACAAAATCATACCAGGCAAACAATAACTAGTATTCATTGAATCCTTATGTTCCAGAGGTATTCCAAGGGCTTGCATTAACTCAATCTTTCAAATCTGTGAGGTAGATACTATTATTATTTTTAGAGATGAAGAAACTGAGGTATAGAGAAATTGAATACCTTCCCAATATCCAGAGATAATAAATTTACCAGGATACAAATCAGAGCACCCTGACTAGTACTAGTAAAAGCTTGGACTTTAATGTTATCAATCATGATGTTAATTTGAGTTTTCCATCAAGTTGTTTCTGAGACTGGGTAGTAGTTTAAGAGTTATATTAGTGGTAATTCCTGTGAAACATAAGCAGGGAGCGAGGATTAAATAGGCAAAACCTTCAGACCATGATGTACATCTAGGAAGCAAAACTGGGCAGGGAGAGCTTCAGACTATAATACACAGCCAACTCAGTGAGGAGCTCTAGAGAAAAAAAAGCCAGTTAGATGAGTTCCACATTGGGTAGAAATGACCAGCTGTGTTAGAAATGACCACTGATGTGTTAGTAATTGGCTGGAGGTTCTCCAGGATGATCATAGGTGGGAATTGAATGCTGCAATGATGTGCCTAACTACATTCCTCCACAACATCTTTATGGGAGGGTATTCTGAATAGCACATTTCCTTGGCTGCCCAGCACCATACTGCAATTTCAGAGAGATCAAATACCATTTTACATCCATCAGATTGACAATAAAATGTTTAAATCTGACAATTCAAATGTTGTGGAAACTTTGGATAATTATGAACACTGCTTGCCAGAATACCAAATACTCTAGCAATATATTTAAGATTATCATAACCTGTGACATAGTACTGTTCCCCAAGGAAACTCATACATGTACAAAAATTTTCATAGCCATTATTGTTTATAGTAATGAAAAGTTGGAAGCAATCTAAAAGTCCACCAACAGGAAAATGAATTGTTTATCTTATATTCATAGAATGTTATATTACAATACATAGCAGTTGAGAAAGCTAGTGCTTCATGTATTCCTATGGATATATCAAAGAATCATAAAATTGTGGAAAAAAACACAAAAGGATACCTTTCAACCCACTTAGCCTAAGTTCTTAATAATGGCACCAATATCATTTCATAAGAGTCACCTGCTGTTCCATATCTATCATATTTGTGTAACTTACTCATGTATATAAAGTTTATAAGCAGTGTCATGTTTAGTTACCTGGGGAAATGAGATCAAGGAGGTGCAGATAGGGTTTCAAGGAATGTGTCCTCTTTTTTAAAATCTGAAAATAAATATAGCAAAATGTTAATACTCTATAAAATATTCCACAAAATATACATAATATGTGTATATGTAGAAAGAGAAACGATAAGAAAGCTTGGTTCAGTATTTCTCTTGTCTTTATTTTTGTCAGTCTACTAGCATTTAAAGGTAAAAATAAAATTCTACTTCTCTTACAGACATAAACTGTAATTATCTTTTGTAGAGATTATTTATATTTCTTGTACATCTGTGGAAAACATTTGGGCCAAAATGTTCTTATCTGGAAAATGCAAAATGTGTATATCTTACCACATATGCTTCATTAACAATCATAGTTGTATTCAGAATTTTTTCATCAGAGAGACTAAAACTCCTGTTCTCTGACTATACTGTACTGAGAGCAGAATCATCAGATTTTTATTTCCCTTAACTTTCACTAATCAGATTAGTGACAGAATCAAACTTTTAAAAACCTGAATATTTTGCATAGTAACAGGTGGCCTGGGATTGTTCATCTGGCCTCTGCCATGTATACTTTCTCAGTTCTTTTGATTGATTTAGAATTGTAAAAGAAATTCTCATAAGAGTAGTGGAAAGACAGATTTTGATTCAAAAGACTCAATTTTGTAAGTCATAGAAGCCCTACTCAAATTCAAGTAAAGATTAATCATCACTAATTGAAAAATATGAATTGTGAAATTTTATAAAATCTGAAACTTTTTGAGTGTCATCTTGTTGCCACAAGTGAGAAATTCCATACCTGACCATATCATGGGTCACATGCAAAACTAATAATATTATATAAAATTTCCTGTAGGCTCTGTGTATAAAGTGTATGTGAAATATAAATGAATTTAGAGTTGTGTTCCATCCCAAAGATGTCTCGTTATATATATGCAAATATTCCAAAACACTTATGGTCCCAAACATTTCAGATAAGTAATATTTAGCCTATAGATAGATTCTAAGCTCATTGGATTATTAAGTATTCTTTTCATGAGTATTGTTTTAGGCACAGAAATTACTAGTGTTGGCTTATGTTTCTCAGTGACATACTGGAGTAAAATTATTAATTTACAAGTGATAAATTAATAAACCTCCACATACTCCCATATATAGTAGGCTACCTAAAATTATTCTTTCTGAAAAATAAATTACCTAGAAGATAGCTTTATTAATCAGAGCTTTAAAAAGTGTTAACTTGGCAGAGACAGAGTTGTACAGTATTCTTTAAAATTTAGGCAGAAATATAAACATACTTATTAACTTCATATACTACCAGAGTCATTAAAAATGATTTAATGCAAAGGGAAGTCAAAATAATCCTTAGAATTAGATGGATGGCATCACCTAAGAACTAAGCAGGGACTCTGCCAATGGAGTTCTCATTCTATTATGTTGGGTTAAGTCATTCCAATGGTTTATTGAGCTATTTTAAGGGTGACAGGGCAAAGGCTTTGACATGCAAGTAAATGTGCCCTTACAGAAGCCAGTGGAAACAATCTTAAGCAGTTTGGGCTTAAACATCTTCAGTACCACTGGAACATTTGATGGCTGAGTGCATAGGACTTCAGTATGTGAAAGAACTTACTTGTAAAACAGGAAACATCATATTTTGTCATTTTTAATAGTATTAGGTAGCAATCCTGCCATTAAAAAATGCTAGTCATTTGGAGTTATAAATACACATAACTGAAGACACATTATTGGTAGGTGCCTGCTAGTTATGGAAGATGGTTAATGTACAGATGTTGATATTAGTTCTGATGATTGTGGCAGCAAGGCCAGATTTGTAATTTACATTGGATTTGTACTTTCAGCTACTTCTAAGAGTACAGATCTCAGCTTAAAAATAAATATATAAATATATAAATATATATATACACATTTATTATATATATATATATATTTCCATTATCCTGTGGTCAAAGGATGGATATGTCTTTCAGACTTTTAAAATATTTATATATGCAAATTCTTTTTTTCATTTTCCCTTTCTTTTGCCATTTTATTTTATTTTATTACTTTATTTTTTAGACAGATAGGATCTTTCTCTTTTGGGCAAGCTGGCCTTCAACTTCTAGGGTCAAGCAGTTCTGCAGCCTCCTGAGTAGCTAGGACTGTAAGCACACACTGTCATTCTTGACTTCATTTTTTGCTTTGATTTTGAGATTTCACTGTAAAATAATGTGATTGATTTTTTTTAAAAAAGACCTAAGAGAGTGCTGTATTTTTAAAGGTAGTCCTCTGAAGCTCTGTGCAGTGATTACTGCTGATGTTCATGGTATTTTTGGAATGCCTCTCGGAAGATTATCTTTAGAATTTATAGCACTTCTTTTTTTTATAGCACTTCTTTTAAATATTGCAATGGTTACATTTTACAAAAAATTCCTTGAGACAAATATTGATTCTTGGGAATAGTCAGAATGAGAACAATGATACAAGTCAGTATTTGGAGCCAGTTCTTGTTCACAAAATATTTGTTCAAATCTTTTTTTTTTCCTATTAAAGAGTAAAGGAAGAAAATTGCCTCTAATGTTGTCTGCCTGGAACCCATTTGTGACCTCTTTGTGTACCCTGATTTTACTGTTAGTCTGAACATCCTTTAAGTTTTTTGCTTATGTCTTGTGCTTCCTAAGGAGACTTGCCTCCCAGTAAACATTTCAAGGCAAGATCTCTAATTCCTGTTTACTGCTCAGTTCATTGGGCACCCTTAAACCTCAGTACATTATCAAATTAAGTAATTTGGAATAAATTATCTCTAAGGAACTCATCAGAATTAAAGCTCTGGATCTTGAATGTTCCCATGTGTGTACTAAATCTTCAGAAACCACTTTACTGAAACTTAGGAAAAAATCCCAGCATGTTTGGTTGACTTGGTTACAGTAAATTGTTGATAGTTTATAATCAAAGTATAATGTTTTTGCCAATATCTGTCCATATATGTTCAACAATAAAAGTACCTGATAATGTTGAATTCATATAAGTGTTCTTTTTAGATTTATGATAGAATTATAACTCCTTATTCTGTCAATATGATCTTTTTAGTTGTGAATATACTGTTCATTTCATTGACTTGATCATCATGGTATGGTTGAAGCTGTAGGCCCTATGACCTACCAGTTTTAGCAGTGTGAACTCACACCATTCTGAGTCCTTAATTATGCTGTAAAATGGATAATAACAGTTCTTTCCTCAGTGGATTCTTAGAGAATGAAGTGAGATAAACCCTGTAAAATGTGGAGTCTACTGTGTGCCTCTTAGTAAGTGCTAGATATAGTGAATAGGCACTGTAATAAAGTGTTTGTGAGATTTAACTAGGCCAAAAAGTAAAATTTCTAGAGTTTTTACATGTTAATTTTATGGATAGTATTTCTGTTACCTTTTAAAATCACTTATACCCACTATTTTATGATATATTTTGATCATAAAATAGTAGGTTCTTTTCATAGTTATGTAGAGTTGAATTAGCTTTTGGCTAACTTTTGAGAGTTCCACTCTTATAATTTCATAGTGACAATGCTGGTTCAAACTGGAACTAAATATCCCTTACATGACTTTCTTGTATTACATGATGCCAGATGCTTGTATCACTAGATAAATTTGGAATGCCTCTTTCTAAATCTCTTGGAGTCAAATCAAAGTTAACTATCAGGTAGAGAAAAGTCATGAAATTAAAACTGATACACAGTATCCTCCAGGGGATAATTCTAAAATAAGCTTTTGTAAATGATAAGGTAGCCTATGTACTGTTTTACTACCTATTTCTATTCCCAGATTCCATTTAGGAAACATTATAAATTTATAGCCTGACCACATTGTGTCCTAAACACTGAAGGCAGTCCGTATTGTGGGGATTTCATTTTAACCACATAGAAATTGTAACAAGCCTCAAACCACCAAACTGAGTAAGTAGTAGATCTGGGAATAGAATTGAGAAGGTTCTGATTCTTCCTCACATACTGAGACCTCAAGGTTCTGCCCCTTCTGAACATAATAACAGGTCATCTAATGCTGCTAGACCACCAAAGTATGATGCATCATGAGCAAACCCTATGAGGGTACCACTCACTGACATACAGTGTTTGGTTTCTAAAGGCCTGCTTAGAAAACAGGGAAGTTGGAGGAGTCAGTAGTCAATCCAAGAATCAGATGATTATTGACTGATACTTCTGGGGCACTTAGTTGTTGGTACAAAGTTTACTTCTCCGCTACATTATTTTTCAAAGTGATAACTGTAGAAATGCTTTTAGGAGTTCTTAATAACATTTTTATAACTCTGAATGAAAGTAAAGAGTTTCTTGAAAGATGAAGAATAGTGTTATATATATATATATATATATGAATAAAAATTATTTTATTCCTTTCAACAATTGGCTCAAATCCTCCATTTATTTTACTTTTAAACTTTTCCTTCTTTTTGCCTTTAGTTGATTGCCAGAGCACTGAAATGGTTGTTTAAAAGGTTTTGTTCTACAATACCCTTGCTGTTTGGAGAACAAATTTGGAAACCTCACTCTGTATGACTAGAAGGAGCTTTACCTACCATTTACTATTTCACATGAATAAAAATTGTTTATACTTATATTTTACAGTTTAATTATATCACAGACCTTTTTGTTGGAATTATTTTCTTTTTTATAAAATATATCTTTTGAAGTTCCATTAGTAAAAATCTTTTGGTTTATATTTATTTAAAGTTGTCTTAGTTTTAACCTTACTCTAGAAGAAGAGCTTCATTAGATGTACTATGTAAGATAACAGTTATTTTCTTCTAAGCCTTTTGAGGATATTATTTCCCTATTTATGGCTTATTTTAGTACCATTAAATAATTTTTAAAATGTAATGCTAGTCATTACATTGAGCATTTACATTTATCATTTAAATTAATCCTTATAACAACTTTATTATGATAAGATGCCATTCTTATTTTCATGATGGAAAACATAGGCGCAGAAAAGTTAAAGATACACATACAGCATGTGAGGAGGCCAAGATTTCAACCCAGGAGCTCTGAC